TGAACGCATCTCTCTCAAAGTAGAGATGGGGATCCGGTCCCTTGATAACAACCGTAAGGCTGATCATAAGGACTTCATAGTTGCAGCAGAACGCCTCATTACTGAGGTGACCACAATCAAAAAGGATCTTCAAGCAGCCATCGCAGATCAAGCTGCTCAGTCTCAGAAAGTGATGAGACTCATACTGCTTATGAGTCCACTATCTCTGTTCTTCACGCAACCATCAACAAAATGCAGAAATCTCTTACCTCCAACTTCCATGGCCCTAAGATCCTCCAGCTTACCAAAGAAATACATAAGCTACTCTTCAACTCCTCCACTCCAAACAATTCCAATTGGCAGAGGCTATCAAAGCTCAGTTTTAAGAAGTCTGTGCCAAGGGGGATGGACTTAAGCAATGGGTTGAGGAAGCACCGGCATTGCATTCCTCAAGAGGGGGAAGTGAAGAAGAAGAAGAAGTCCACCACTCTGATACATCTATCCATCAGAGTCCCCCTCTCACCACTGAAAAAAATCCAACACCGCAACCCTCACCGCAACCATCTCAACATACCCCATCTCCCTACACTTCACCTCAAAAGCATACTCCCAAAAAGCCTGAGACTCCTCTTCACTTCAAAAATCTTGAGGAGAACATGTCATCCGCAAGCTCCACAGACTCCCCTGCCACAGCCCAAAGAAAGCATGATTGGAAGGCGGCCAAGCTTGCTGAACTTATCTGGAGAGAATGCGGATTCAACACTATGATAGATGAATCCTTGATTAATTCATGGGTCAATCCGCACCGCAGGCTATTGGATGAAGACTACACCCCGCACCTCACATATGTTGAACCCTATGCTGATGGATACTGGGATATTCTAATTTCTCCAAATGCAAAATACTTTGCAGTATTTGAGTCATTTGACTGCAGCCTTCCTGCTCACAAACAACTGCCAATGGAGTTTGAAAGACTTAACTGATATTATGCTAAGCATGGCTCCTCTATTGAGAATGTTTGGTCTAACGATAGACCATCCGCAGTCAAGAACTACAAGATGCGGAAGTTTATGAAGGCTGATTTCATCCAGTATACCCTCACCAGAAGGGAGCATGACTACATCCACACCCAGGCAGACTTCCCATGCATGAATCCGGAAGAAATCTTCCTTATTGCCAGGGTGTTCCAAAACAAGGCAGAAAAGCACCCTAAAATGCAAATAGCGCTTGAAAAAGCCAACTCTTTTCTGAGGGATACAGTCTGTGACTTTGCCAAGATAGATGCGGATATCTACCCCACCATCATCAAGAAGTTTGATCTCCCACCACTTGAACCTATGCCAATGCCTACCGAAGGCTTCGAAGAAAGATCACTAGGCGCAACAAACTTCTCTGAACTTGGAATCATATTCAAACGGAAGACTGACAATGTCAAATACTTCATTTCGATGAATGCCATGCACCGCCTGCCCAAGAAACAACTTAACATCTGTCAGACCGCCGTTGAAAAATCGAAGCATACTACTGCAGAAGTCAAGTTTGAAATTTCAAGAAGAATCACATGGCTAGAAAATGTCAGAAAGTTCTGGTGGATTTTGATCAAGTTCCTCAAACTTGATAACTGAACCGCAGTTAAAGAGGTCACTTAGGGGGAAATTATTGAATCATAAAAGTGATCCTCTTGAACTCAGCTACCGCAACCATCTCTCTACCGCAACGGTTCAACACCCGCAGCCAATCCAGCACCCAGAGTCAGTTCTTCATCAGCAACCGCAATCAGTCTTTTGCTACCACAGTCTACTTAACTAGATTACTTTATTTGTCATTTATGTAATACACTCTATTATCCAGTATGCCTTGCACGGCTGCTTATAGAGTTGTAGTCTAGTATAGTTCAGAGTCCCTATAAATAGAGACTTATTCTCTTGTATTAAATACCTCTCAATCACTGATAACTTATGTATTATTCAGAATACATTTCTCCAAGTTATCTTCTTCATTTCTCTATCTTTCTATTCTTCTTACACTCAATTGGTACCAAAGCATATCTGATTATAACCTCTCTCCGGAGCAAGTCCTTATGACTTCTTCACTAAGTTTGATCTCACTTACTAACATTGGTTTGAATGCATTCCAAGTTATGAATCAACTTAAGTGTATTCTTGATATAGCAATTGTTGTCATGTACATTACTTTATGTTCCGTATCTAACTCACTAACTTCTAACTATTAATATTATTGTTGAGCTAACAGATCCTTGAGATTAACTATTCCGCTATATACTTGTTCTAACCATTTTGTTCAAGTGTGTCTCAAAGTTTTTCTCTCAACATCTAGCATCTCAAGGAGGTATAAAGTCTTTATCTTAACGAGTTAATGGATAGATCTTTGGATCCCCCCCCCCCCACCCTTTTCTCTATCTCTTGTTGCCTTGGATGGTTGAACCTCATAAAGTTTGCAACTTTATGAGTCTCCAGGCCACTTGGAGCATTTGGCTCTTTTGGATCTAGTTTGGAATTGAGGTTTCAAGCCATGCATGGAATCTTAGCATTTTTGCCCTATTTTGACATAATAAGAGCTTAATACATGCATTAGACATGCATGTCTGAAAACCACCGATTTTTTATGGTGTGCTTGGTGTTAGAGACTCTTTTGAAGCTTTTGGTCAAGAAACCTTATGATTGGATGGTTATTGCTTAAGCTATGAAGTGTTTTTGGATCTTAAAGTTGAGATCTATACATTTTGGAGGGTTCTATTGGATAAAGTAGGAAACTTTATCCATCTAGACCCTATTTTGGGACCAAATCTGGGTTGGAGACCATTGGAATCGAAGATATTGGTTGAATGCATTAAGCTGCTGAAAACCCTGTTACCACGACGTGGCAAGGGGCTGGTCACGACTGTTTTGTCGTATTTGAAACCACGACGTGGCGGTCAGTTGAGTTAACTTTTCATGACCTTTTTGACCCTTTAGCATAGTTGGACCCAAAGGGGTATTTTGGGTATTCTGGTTTATATTGAGAATTGGTCTCTTACCCTAGTTTGGACTCATAGTGGAGTCATGATCCAATTATTAATTGGATGTTATTTTGTAATTATAGCGCGTGAGATTTTAGTGGGCCAACAGTCAGAGAGTTATCTGTGAGATTCAACAGTCTGAGGTGAGTCTCCTCACTAGGTTTAACGGTTCTAAGGCACCAATATCGTCCCATTTACTTTGTTAGGTAGAATGCTAGTTGTCTCTTTGATACTTGTATGGAAGAACAGGATCTAGCCCCTGGCAATTATATGAAAGACCAAGATCTGGCCCCTGGTAATTGTGTGAAAGACCAGGATCTGGCCCCTGGCACTTGTACGTAAGACCGTGATTTGGCCCTCGGCATTGTATGGAAAGACCATGGTTTGGCCCATGGTAGGAAATGGTTATAAGACTATGATTTGGCCCATAGCATTTATTTTGTATGGTATGTGGTATGTTGGGGAACTCACTAAGCTTTAGGCTTATAGTTTTCAGTTTATGTTTCAGATACTTCAACCAAACAATATAGTTCTTCCATGATTGTCAATACTAACAAATATGCCAAATGTCATGTCGTATGAATTCACCTTGTATGTAGTATCAAATACCACAACATCTCTGTATTTTTGGTACAATTCAAAACAATGATCATGACATCAAAAAATATGTTCTAGCCTATTTTCACTATCTAGTGTAAATGCATATTGAAAATTAAGATTTTCACTTTTAGCACTTTTACAATACTCCAAAAACTCTTTGCATCATTCTGTAAGTGTAGTTCATGATTTTTGATAAAAGGTGTATATATATATATATATATATATATATATATATATATATATATATATATATATATATATATATATATATATATATATATATATATATATATATCAACTATAATAAATGAATATCCAATTTGCCAAATGTCAATCTCTCATTAATTTTGACACTTATCATTTTGTGATATTTTTGAAATAAATAATATTCACATGTCAATTCTTAGGTTTTTCAAATTTTAAAATTAAAAAGTCACAAAATATTTATATATTTATATATGTAAAGTATTAAATGTTATAAATATGATATTAAATTGCAGTTAATACATTTCTTTATTTCTTATTTCAAAATTTTAATTTTAAAAATATTTATTGTTTACACTTTAATATTTAATTTCTTTTTTAATCAACCCGTGTAATACACGGATTTTATACCTAGTATACTAATAAAAGAATAACTTTAATATTATTTTGACATGTGTTACTATAATACAACTCTTCAGTAATATTATACCACGTGTTAGGAAGATATATTAGGCAAATCATTATCATAATTAATGACAATAAGGTTTTAAATAATATGATTTAAACCTTTTATAGAAACATTTTTTTTTAATTATATGTTCAATTTGAAGCTAAAAATAACTTCAAATTTTTGGTATATCTCTTAATTAATAATTTGATTAAAATTATTTATTTAAAATAATTGATTAATAAGTATGAATTTTTCATGATTACTGTTGATCATAAGTTTCTATTTTTTTTTTCTTAGAATGAAACTCACAAAAAAGAAAAAACTTTTAAATTTGTAATTTTTTACAATTTTACTCTTGAGATATTCCCCCTTCCCTCTCCGCGCAATTTTAAGCCATAATTTCTATGCAAATTCTTAATTTCAATATATAATAGTATTGACTTCGGCCACCAGGCGACCCAATCATTTTCGTCATGTTGGACTGGATTTTTATGGTAAAAATGGAGCTAAGATTTTTTAGTATTTTGGGTTAAAGATTGTTTGATAATCTCTAAATAGAATTGTTTATGGGATAACAAAAAAGTATGTTGCTATTCCCTGCAACTTGCCCTAATAAAGGGGTAACATAAACAAAATTGTTCAACCATACATTGGACACGCACTGCAAATTTAATGACCAAAATACCCCCCATAATACCAACTTATGGAGGAAACAGCTTCCAGGTTGATTGAGGTTAAAAACTTAAATTATTCCTACATTTAAAATGTTGAAATCTATTACACTAAGAAAATAGCAACAAACTTTTTCAAGATTCTAAGTAAGCTTCCCAACCCACTTTTTCAAGCTTCTCGGTTTTTTCCAACACTATGTCTCTTGCATCTTCTTGGAATTGTACCATCCTGTGAAAAGACAATTATGCCCACGTCACATGTGTGTCCAGATTTGATTTTGTGTTTTAATTTTATCTTTGTATTTTTGTGTGTATTCATAGAGAGGGAGGGAGAGAGAGAACCTTGCTTGAAGGGCAGTATCGGAAACTCCCAGCATTCGAAGAGCTAACAAGGCTGCGTTAGTGGCATTATTGATTGCAACTGTTGCAACAGGAACCCCTCTTGGCATCTACAAGAAATAGCAACGTACTTTCACTTATTCACAAGTTTCAATATTTTTACAACAATAGGAAAAAGTAAAATCAGAATAGTATATTATAATAAACAAATAGATGAGATGAAAGTAGATTGGTATTTTTTGTATCTATATAATATAATATAATATACCTGAACAATTGAGAGAAGGGAGTCAAGCCCATCTAATGCAGAAGCACGTACAGGAACTCCAATAACAGGTAAGGGTGTCAATGCAGCTACCATACCTAATTACATTACACACAACATGTTCAAATAATCATTTATATATTTTAAATTTGGAAAAAAAAAAAAATGAAAAATACAAAACCTGGCAAATGGGCTGCACCCCCTGCACCAGCAATGATAACTTGGATGCCTCGTTCTCGTGCAGATGAAGCATAAGAAAACATCAATTCAGGTGTTCTGTGTGCTGATACTATTCTAACCTTCATGTCATGCATTCATCCAGGAAGGATACGTTATTTTAATATCATAAATCATAATAAAGAGCTAAATGCAATAAATAATGCTATAAGAAACAAAAATAAAGGGAAATACATTACTATTTCTTGCATTTAACCCTTATAATAACCTCACCTCAGCAGAAACATCAAAATCTTTCAAAACTTTAGCAGCTTCTTTCATCACTGGAAGATCTGAATCAGAACCCATTATGATTCCAACACGTGGGGCCACTGCATCACCAACATAAATTCTTCACCATTAATTTTAGACCGGTTTGGTTTCTTTTTCTTTCTAAAGATGTGGATGAGGAGGGCATTTATGTCCTTTTGCACAGATAAAATTCTACTAATTTTGGCTGGGTACCTGGAGTCTCATCTGCATTTTCTTCATTTAGAAGTGATTTCACACGTGCTTCCACAATGCCCATTGATGGGCCCACAACCGTGATGTGTCCCATCTTCCTTTGCTTTCGCATATCTAAAATAAGCACAAAGAGTAAATTACAATTTAGGACCATGAGTATACCTAATTTTGGTTCTTGTAACGTTTTTTTGTCATGGTTCCAAGTAAAATAACCATTTTTTGTCCCTAAATAAAGCTGATATTTGCAATTTAGTCCCAACAATATAGTCATTTTACTTTTAACAGGGACCAAAAATGTTGCAAAAAACCTTCAAACAAGGACCACATTTGCAAGAGAAAAACTTTTGGGGACCAAAACTGAAAAATTCAGCTATACTCAAGGACCAAAAACGGGCTGATTATATCAAAGTAAACAAATAATTTGTTACATGGAATCCATACCCGGCTTATCATACCAATGAACAGATGCCCCTGGAGTACACAATGCCCTTCTAATAAGCTCATGTGCCAAAATAAAACCTCGTTCTCCCTATACACCATTATCACATATTAAATACACTTTTCTAAATTTAATAATTCATCTATTGAAAAATTTAATAAAACTTAGTACCTCATCTTCACCTAAAATGTTATACATAATGGAAGCTGGAGCTTTCATTGATGGATCACCAAGAGGAAGACCAACAACTGCCCTCAAATGTTGCTCATATTGTGAAGTATAACAAGACTCAATTGTATGGTGTCCACTGTTATGAGGCCTAGGAGCAACTTCATTTAATAAAATCTGTATTCAAACATAATAATAATTTCAGTAATTTTATACCTAAATAAAAATGTAAAGAAAGAATCAAAAAGTATTATTAGAAGAAAAAAAAAAAACCTGGCCATCTTCTGTTAGAAACAACTCAACTGCAAACACACCAGCACCTTCCAATGAAGCAACAGCTTTTGAAGCAATATCAGTTGCAAGTTTCATAATCTTCCATGACTCATTAGCAGGAGATTTAACAATGTGACATATGTTTTCCCTATAAAAATAAATTAAAAGAAACCACATAACATATAATATTATTATTAATTCATACTATTAGCATAAATAATAAAAATAACTACATCCAGATATGATCTTTCTTGCCTGTGTACAGTCTCCACAACAGGATAGCATGATATAGAATTATCTCTACCTCTTGCAACAATTACTGCAAGCTCCTAAAATAAACATGAAATTATTGGAATCGTTATATTATATAAATTTCTTTTTATAAATATAAATTGAACTCCAAATACATGATTATAAAATATACTGACCTTAACAAAAGGTGCCCATTGCTCAACATATAATCCATGACCAAATCCTCCTAGAGCTGCATATGATAAATATATTACAACTTTGTCAAGGCTAAATCTTATTATAACACCAAAAAGATTAATAAAATATAAAATTATAAATTAGTACCATTTATAGCAGAAGTTAACACTTCTTCACTTTTAGCAACAGCATTACCCCTTCCATCATAGGCTAGCCTTCTACTTTTTACCATTAGAGGATAACCAAATTGTTCACCTGCTCTTTTAGCACTTTCTTCATCTTCTATCTGTCCCACTAAAAAATATAAATTATCTTTTTTTTTTCAGCTAAAGATTAATAAAATAAAATGGTACTTAAAATCCAGACCTGTATGAACTTTGGAAGTGGAATGCCATGTCGAGAAAAATGAACTTTTTGAAGAAACTTATCCTGTGACAAAAAACTATTACTATCATCATTGTGTCACCATAATCCAACATACAACGTTACTTAAAGGGGCAATATTAGAAATATTTAACAAAGAAAATAAAATACCTGGATAATGCGAATGGTAGAAGCTTTAGGCTGGCAATCAACCCCTTGTTTTTCAAGCTTCTCCAAAGTATCAGCATCAACATGCTCAATTTCAACTGTTAGTATTTCACACCTATGTAGAAAAGTCAAGTTAGATTGGGACACATTGACCAAAATAGGATCCAAAATGTTGACTTTAACCTCTTAGCAAATTCTTCAACTGTGGTGCTATTGTCATAGCTTCCCACCATATGATGGTGGCATATGGTACTTGCAGGGCAGTTGACCATAGGATCCAAAATGTTGACTGTTATTGACATTTGGGAAGCTGCTTGACAAAGCATGCGTCCTAACTGTCCTCCACCTAAAACACCCACAACTGTTTCAGAAACTCCATGAGCTGGTGCATTCTCCTTCCTACATTTTTGAAACTTAAACAGGGATTACAGAATAGAAATCCTAAATTCATGAAATTATATATAAAAAATGTTGTATAAGTTATAACCTTTGTGAAACATCAGTTTCCATGGATGCACGACAAGATATCGAGCGATTAACTTGTTGGTTGATCATTGAACATGAAGAAGAAGGGCATGAAGAAAAAGATGTGCTGTTGAAGTTCCTCTTTTGTAGTTTATAATGTGAGGCTGGAGTAACACCAACTTGATGGGTGGGAGTGTTGTGAAGGAAGCTGCTTGGGCTCAGCATTCTTGTAACAAAACAGTAACAGTTAGTAATTTTATTGATAAGAAGGTGAAATATTGCATTTCATGTGAGATAGAGGAGGTATACATATGAAAATAAAAGTAAAAAGTACTTACAAATACATAAATATGGAAGAATCCAAGAATTTGTGAAATGAATTTGGTTAAAGATCCGCAAAGGCCTGCAACAATGAAACAATAGAATTATAACAACTATCCCTGACCTCAAAAGTAATAGAAACTTGTTAATCCAATTTCCCATGTAAAAAGCAATAGTCCCCGTCCAACTTGGGTTAAAAGATGAACAAGAAAATCACCATAATTGATTTATAAAATAGAATCTAGAAGGTTTATGAGCAAGGAAAAAATATGATCCAAGTATTCATCTGCAACAACATATTCAACCTCAATTACATGAATTTGACCTAAACATTCAAAAACCAAACACTGTACACCAATGCATGGCTACCAGACTAATCGATTTCCCGTTAATTCTTTAAAATAGGTCCGAATAAACTCTAATCATCTGGAATGAAAATAGAAGGAAGAAGATAGTAAGCTCCGAATACACAGGGAGAACGAAATCAAACTTCCCGACATTATTTAACTGTAAAATCGATGTCCGATTGGAGATATAAACAATAAAGCAAGTTGGACCAATAAAGTTTGGGGGAATCAGAAACTCCTTTACTAGTGGAGAAGACTTGCCCTTGGTCGGAGTTGCTCAACGTAGAAAACACGCTGCCGTTAGATACGCCGTCGTGAAGAGCTCAAAAAAGTGAGCTACAGAGAGACAGTGATTCTGTGAACGAGGGAAAATAAATTAGTACTATTACCTTTTCTTTAACCTATTTTTCCTTACCCTTATATTTCGAGCTTTTAGTGGACAGACCCCCGATCTTTTTGAAAAGTTATCATTTTAGTCCATCTACCAAAGAAAATATCAAAGCTCAACCAATGGTTTATGGTTCCTTCACTCTGAAAAGATATTAGAGTAAGTGACGAAAATAGTCCCTGAACTACGTGATTTTTTCCATGTTTAGACTAAAATCCAAACATTTTTTTTCTAATATAGTGCCCTTACAAGTTACAACAAGGTTTTATTAAACGTAGATCTGGCAATTCCAGATACGAATAACACAAATCTGTAAGAGACATGACACGACACAAATACATATTGAAAATTGAGATAAAGCTTATTTCTTATCGTGCAATCATATCGTGTTAAATTCATGGTTGATACGTTTTCATGATATGAATATACGAATTATCAAGTCTAGTTAAACATCCTTGTGTCCTCAACTTTAATGACTTAGTTGTTAGATCAATGAAATTTTGAAAATGACGAAATGTAGTCTTGTCTTCTTCGTCCTTTTATTTTTCATATAGCTAACAAAATTTAACTTTTTTCTAGCCAAACCATAAGTAAAATCAATAATAAATTACATAAATCATGAATGTAGTTTGAGATAATCTAAATATTTTTTAACTCGAACCATTCATATAATTTGTTGTTTTTCAATTAAATATACTTCTTTTAACTCGTTATTGTTTTAATGTAATTATACCATACATACCGAATATTGTATCGTACGCAATTAATGTTGTATTGTACGCATGAATATTGCATCAGTCCAACACAATGAATGTAACATATGTTTCATCAACTTGTACCATACACAATGAATGTTGTATCGGGCCAAGAATCGGAAAAACTAACATTGATATGTCACAATCGGTCTGATCCACAGTTCGTAGAATGCTCCCAAATCGGTCCGGTTCCAGAATTGGTTCTAGTCCGATCCAAATGCTCACCCTAGTTGGATCTATAAATTAAATATAAAAGAAAATCTTAAACCTAGTCCTTTCTTCTCCCACGCTCATGCCTGCTTTCAAATGTTTAATGAGATTGACAAAATAAGTTTAATGAGATTGACAAAGTTTTATTGAGGGTATAAAATGATATCATTTTACATAGGTTTTAAAGTAGTTGTATATTGGTGGTTCTTTATTAATTTTCTAATGATATAAAAATAAATATATAATAAAAAAAATTTTAAAATACAAATATTACCCGCTAAAGTAATATAGTCATTTTAAATAGGAGCCAGAAGCGTTGTTTGAGGTTAACATCTATAAAAGAAGAAAGATAAGTTTTCATTAGATAGAAAATTCTTAATATAACACTCAAATGAAATATTAAGGCTATGATCCAACACAATAATTCACAATTCATAAAAGGGATGTCGTAATCCAATTGTAAATTATTTGAAGGTAGGTAAATGACGATTTACCAATTCCAACATGAAAACGAATTTTTTAAATGAATTAGGGTTTGAATGAAATTAAATTCCTATATCTTTTGAGATTCATTGAACTATTCGATGGCATGTTTAATCTCGATTATGCCCTTCAAGTTTATGATTGGGGTATCGAAGATCACAAACAATGTGTGAATAACCATGCAAAATAGCTTGGTACTCTCGATGTCATTTATCACCCAATCAATATGTCAATTAACCACTCACGCTCCATTGATCAATGATAATTTACGAACTACCCATTGCCACTCTTTGTTAGTCCAAGTTAGTGTGTTTGTTAACCACACACGCTCCACTAACGACTGACAAAGTGCAATATGCAATTTCATGGATTGGCATCAAATTCATATTTTCCTAAAGTAACTAAGATTGGGAAATTATAAAAATATTTAGTTACTTTAAAATAATTATTAATGAGAGATTAATGTCATATCCTACCCGTTCGGCTAACGATCCTCTACTAGTCAAGAGTGTGGTGGGTGAGAATGGATACCCAATGGCGGTCATTTCATAGGCTACTTCCTTAAACACCCCTTATAGACCAACTTCGTGAATGAGACCTACTAACGCTAAAACTGACTTTTCTTATACATACATACATACATACATACATACATACATACATACATACATATATATATATATATATATATAAATTAAATTTTTTTAATCTTATAATTGTATAAGGGTGTATTTCAAACTTTTAAAATACTGTTATTCTAGAATTGAAGATTTCAAAATTAAGCTTTTATTTAAATTTTAAATTCCAAAACTAAATGGTGTAATTTGAAACTTTTCAAAATTACTAGATTAACTTTTAAATAATTAAATTATTAAAATAATTTTGTCATTATCTTAAAATTTGACCAAATCAATCTTATTTGATAAGGAAATCAGATTATCATTCAGAAAATTCAATTTAAGACATTAAAAACGAATTATAGTAATTATCCTAATCCAAACAAGATATGAAAATCGAAAAATCATGAATCTGGCAAGTCAACTCGTCAAGTCAGGCTATGAACTCGTTGAGTCAAACCAACTCGTCGAGTTCTACAAATAGATTACGAATCTGTTTTACTTCTACTTTAGACAGATCACAATTGCATCAAATACAACTTAAAAACATCATAGGTTCTGATACCAATAATGGGTTATAAGCATAATAACATCATATATATATTCATGCAACACTAATTGCTTTGGGTCTAATTTTTTCACTAATTGAACATGCAAATGAAATTCCAAAGCAATAACCCTAAATCTAGCATATATGATTCGAAATTCATATATAAAGAGGGTTAAAAAGATTACCTTGCTTGTTATGTAGCAATAACAAGAAATCCTTGATTGATCTTGACTCTTGAAAGCTTAGTACCTCAAATGTTGCACCTCTAATGGCTCATAAACACCTATAGCAAGAGGATGAGAGGAGAGAGGAGGGAATATGAAGAAAATTGTCTAGGGTTTCTATGCTCTTAGCATTAGCCGAAACCCTAGGTAAAGGGATCTTTAAATAGTTGAGGTTGCTAGGGTTTTTAGGTGGAAACCCCAATTTCCTGCTAAGGCCTTAAGCATTTCATGAACCTCCTCTTCTAGAAGCCTTGTACGAATTCTATAAGGTCTCCCTATAGTTTTCGTCCACTCCATTCTAAATGAGTCTAGCAGCCCAGTTTTGCAACTATTAATGATTTGCAAAACAGTCACCGTTCTTTTAATCAACTCCTTTAATCCTAAAATTAATTCCAAATTAATTTATGATCAAATAATAATTAAATAATATGATTTCTAATTAATATGTTATCTCATAATATATTAATAAATCATTGATTAACCTCTATCTCCATAAGTCATCATGTTAAGTTGCTAAAGTGAAGGTAACCCAAAAGGACCATGCTACTATCAAATCAAGTTCATACCAACTATAGTTATGGGCTTAGATAACAAATCTGTCACAACTAGCATTTTTAGCTAGGAAATTATGTCCTCATGTAAACATCAACTATTGAGAGACTTATAATCTAAGTGGATATCATATGTTATGCTCAATCAAAATCATCCATTTGAATCAAAACTCCCAAGTGAAGTTTAAAACCTAATACAATGCATCTCATGTACTTAACTATGGATCTGAAACCCTAAATATCCTAGTTCAAATTTAGTATGGACTAGGATCCTCTTATTGGGCCTAATAGGCCAGTAAACCTTCTATTTGATGATTTTGGCCAGTAAAACCCATTTAGTCTCTAGTTAGGCCCACATTCGTCAAACCATAGCAATTGGGCCATGTTGGGCCTTAAATAACTCACTTATTTATCATGGGCCATGATGTGCCATGAACCATTCTAATGAACCATGATGGGCCGTGAACCTAACTCTTCATCGAAATTGGGTCGTAAACCCAATCCTTTCACCACACTTGGGCCGTGAACCCTCAAGAAGGGCCCAATGGGCCGAAAACCTTCAACTTAGGCCTCATAATTTCGAACCAAATCAAGAAAAGGCCCAAACTCTTTCATTCCTTTTTCCTTTCTCGGTTTTGTGATATAAAAAGAAAAAAAAAGTTTATATGATGCAAGACTTTGACACACCTCATCTTTACTTAGTGGTAATCTAGGTAAAGTAACTCACATATAACTAAGCATCTACTCTCTAAACCATCATGTATTAACCACTTGATCCTCTCTCCTCCTTCTTCTCTATTTTCGGCCGAGAATCACAACCCACCACCATTCTCATTTCAACCTGAAACACATACTATAATTCCTCTCATATTCCTCCAAGAACTTCAAGAAAATCCTCCCCTTCCCTCTTCAATATTCGTGTGAGCTAGTGTGTGAGTTCAAGAGTACTTCATCTAAAATCCACTTATCTTGGTAAGCTACTTCCACTCAAGAGGTTCAACTTCATGTTCATGTTAAACTTACTTCTCCTAACATGTCATTTTATGATCATATATCTTGAAAATCTCCTCAAGGAAACATCTAGGGCCAAAATCTCCTTCAAACTCTTCATCAAACTGAAATCATCCAACAAAATTGAGTTCATACCCCTTATTTTCAGTTTTTACTTTGGTTTGGGGGAGAATACAAGTTTTTTTGTGTAGATCTATGTGTGTATGCATGATTTTGTGTGTTTTTCATGTTATATATGTGATTATGTGTTATAAACTCCATGAACCTAAAGATCTACTAAAAGATGATGCTACTTGTAGAACATAACACTCATTTCAACTTATCTTACAAGGAAATGATTTTAAAATACATACAAGTTACTTAAAACTAAGAACTTTGCATAAAAGGGCTATTTTTGACAAAATTAACAAAAAGTGAGGTTCTCATGTTAAATAATACTATTATGAACAATAATGTGTAAGACTTGCATTAGATGACCATTCTA